ATAATGTGCTGCAGGCAGCACTACACTTAGCTCTGCATGTCTGCTTCAATTTTAGCTCTTTAATTTCCTGCGGCTGCAAATCATGGTGAAAGGCTGTGCTGTGATTTAAAGATTCTGCCTTACACTACATGTGTTTTTGAACTGAGACCATCATTTTTTGCACCCAATCTTCGGATCTTTGATTTTCTTTAGAAATTGTCCTTTATTAAGAAAGTCATTTTCATTAAGAAAAAATATATTCAAGGGGTTGTGAGGACCTGATGAAAATCACTTCCTGTCTTCTAATCCAATGAATGTTGAGAGCTGCTGCATTTTATCTCTAAGATGTGATACTTAAAAAAAAAAAAAAAGGGAACTGGGTTAGGCTTGCCGTGTTTAATCACACTGGCCATATATGCAGGCAGCTGTTTAGATGAGCTGTGTTTGCATTTGTCTTTATCTTATCGTGTGCTGTTCAGTCAAATGAGCTTTTTAAAATGGAAAATGGAATCTTACATTCACGGTGAAAGGGAAGCTTGTGACCAAAACCTTTGATACTTTTCAAGTATTTTAAAGTCTTTTCCCCACTAAAAATGATAAAATGGATTTTTTATGATTCCTTATTTTTCCTCTGGGATTTTTACATGAATAATTACTCTAACTTCATCTTATATATGTACATATAGATAATGTTTTACACTCAATGAGCAGCATGGAAATGATTCATGAGCTTTTACTTCACTGTGAGTGTTGCTGCATCCTGACCTATACTTTCCATTTGAATTCTAATTGTTGGCTGTGTTAAGGTGGGATTCACTCCTTTCTATTGTGTAAGATTTTAGAAGGATTTTCCAATGTAACAAAACCACATTATTTTCAGTGATGACAATGCAAATAATAACATTCTTATGTAATTTTTTAATACATTTGGGACTGTGTATTAGTATATTTGCTGACACTTACAGCCTCTAATTGACTAGCTGTGTTTTGAGCAAGAAAAGGTTTTATAAAAACATATGGAAATATGCATCCCTATGAGAAAACTTAAGGCAAGGAGGATTTTCCAAGTGTAAACAGAAATGTGAATTGTTGCCAATCAGTGTTAAGCTTCATGATTTCTTTTTACTTTAGTTTGTATAGCTGCACTTTCAGTCTGATTTTGAATGACTAGGTACAGTCTGTCTAAATCCTACATTTTCCTCTTGTGGATATGGTGTGGTATCAGAGCATTGCTTATCTACTGTTAAACAAGGAAAAGTATTCAGCAATAATGATAGATCTGTCTACCTCGCTCCTGCAGGAGCAGTTACATTGATATTAATATATAATTTTACATGGGTTTCATACAGGTTGGAATTAAGATCTTGCGTGATCAGGGTGTTGACATGGAAGGGGTGGAAACTACACAACAAGCAGTGGATATTCAATGCTTTCAATATAAATACGATGAAAAATACAAAGTATTTTTGTTCATTTAATGCTGTAGTACAGAAAATAGCTTTTCAAATAGCTTTACTTACAAAACACTGAAAATGCTGCAGGCAGCAGAAAGCAAAGGATTTAATAATTGTCTCTCTGTTGCACTGAATCACGATATGCTGGACTAGAGTCTTCTACACCCTTTTTTTTTTTTTTTTTTTTTTTTTTTTGCTATTGCTGAGCTCCTTGATATGCAGCCTGAAAAAGGAAGAGGTAAAAGAAGCCTAGTGAAAAGCAGAAAGGAGAGAAATAGATTTTCAGTAAAACAATCAGAATCTATTTATTTTTCCTTAACATCCCACAAAATATAATTTCACAGCCCTAAGCTCTTTGCCCCTCATTCAGTTCTCTTTTGCAGTGGGAAGAGACACGTGACACAACAACAAATGCTGCCATATTGATTTTGGGGGCAATTTAAAAAAAATTAGTAATGAAGACAATCCCTCAGTATCACCATCGGTGGGAGAAATCCATACACTCAGTAAGTCACCAGATCACACAGGTGTGGTGTATTTGGGAAAAGTCTGTGGGGCTGGGAGCTGCAGTGTGTTGATAGAGGGTGCAACACTGGAAGCCTGGGTGTGATCAGAGTTCCTGCGCTGTGACTGAGAGAAGCCTCTTGCTTTGGGGGGGGTCACGCTCTTCGGGAGTGAATTACACAGTTATGTGCATTTATAGCAGCTGCACGTTGCACTTCATGTGATGAGTGAAGCTCCTTTGTTACAAAAGGAAAAAAGAAAAAAAAACACTTCAGAAATAGTGGAGAGAATTCTGCAAGTCTTGCATGCTCTGTTCCTGAGCCTGTGAAACCCAATACTTCACTACAGGTTTTAATCAACTCAGTGTTTATTCAGAAAGAGGCATAAATCCACTGCCACTCAAAATTAACCTAATTCTTGACATGGACTCAGAGTTGAGTCTTGGTTATCTTACACTTCTGGAAATCTCTCACCTATGAGTTGGCACGTACATTACCCCATCCACACAATATTAACTATACTCCTGCCATCACAGGGTGCCAAACTCTCTCTGCATTTCCCAAGCATAATCTGTTCTTTTCTTCCTATTCTTCAAGTCTGCACACCACAGACCGACTCCCACAGCTATATCTAACAAATTTATCACTTTCCTCTCTGTGGCATTTTCCTGAACGTGGATATAGAACACACTGTAATGTAATACTTGGCAGAACCACATTCCCTGTAAAATAAAACTATGTTTCTTGTTACTGGAAAGACTAAGAAAACAGAAGGCAAGTAAACAGTAGCTCACAACTGCTATTTAAAATCAACTGTCTTCAAGTCATCCTGAATTTTTGTGCTTGACAACTTTTGAGGTCTGGGAGCAAAATGCCTGTGACATTGTTCCCTAAATTATTTCCACATCAGCTAACCTGTGGTGTTTATTTCCACAATTTATTTTGACATTCTTGGTAAAATTGGTGAGAAATGTAGGCTATTTGCTGAGGCTGTAAAAATGTCTTTTGCTAAAGGGATCAGACTAAAACTGAGAAAAGAATGTGAGATGTAAGGAGTCTATTTGCCTTCTTAAAATGTGTTAGTCATGCCACCTGCATTAGGTCACAGCAGTCAGCACTGATGGCTTGCCACCTCATGTCACCTTGCAGGGGCTATATGATAGTAGAGGACACTATCTGTGTTGAGTTACACAATAGGGCCCAATAGCTCAAACCAGTTTCTATATGAAGCCTACATCTTCCTATGTGCCATGCAGATAACAAGGAGATCTCCTGCATGAGTAATAAAAAGGAAATGAAAACAAAACAAAAAAACTATGCAGAGAAAGCACCAAAGAATGATAGTAAAAAGTTGGGTCAATGGCAGGCTCAAGGCAGGTATGAAAAGGTGTTTATCCTCATGCTGGGCAGCAGCTGTGGTGGATTTCTGTGCTCTGAACAGTCTTTGCAGACAGGGATTTCTGGAAGGAAAATATCACTTCTGAGCGGGCTCCTTCTGTATTTTATCACTACCTAAAGTATTCTTAATCTACAACAGGTAATTATGTAGTATGTTACTGATAGAAAGTGAATCTTGTTTTCTGAGTTTTGATCATGAAAATGTCTGGGTTTTTTTTTGTTTGTTTGTTTTTTGTTTTGTTTTGTTTTTTTAACTAATGAGTTTAGTAAAAGGGCTTAGAGAATTTCCTGTATGGGGAAAGGCTGAGAGACCTGGAACTCTTCAGTCTGGAGAGGCTGAGAGAGGATCTTCTCACTGTTTATTAATATTTAAAGGATGGCAGTCAAGTGGATGGGGCCAGGCTCTGTTTGGTGGCATGCAGCAGCAGAACAAGGGACAGTGGGCACAGACTGGAACACAGGAAGCTCCATACAAACACAAGGAAGAACTTCTTCACTGTGAGAGTGACAGAGCCCTGGTACAGACTGCCCACAGAGGTGGTGGAGTGTCCTTCTCTGGAGATATTCAAGACCCACCTGGACACTTTCCTGTGTGACCTGCTGTAGGGAACTGCTTCAGCAGAAGGTTGGACTGGATGATCTCCAGAAGTCCCCCACAGTTCTGTGATTCTGTAATTTCTTCAACTTTTCCTGGTCTTCTTACTTCCTACTGCTCTGACTGAAGCCCATCTTTATGAAGCTGCTACCTTTAATTCAATTCTGATCTTCATTAGTAGAGTGCAACGTAGTACGGTCTAGCAAAGTTTTTACATCCTGCAAATTCCCAGCTCCATCTGCCTGCTAGGCTTTGCCTGATGTCCCCTGGATGAGGACCGTCTTCCTGCTGAAAGCCGCACTGGCTATTTATTCTCGCCCCCACCCCTCTCATTTTTAACGTCTCCCTCCTCCCGTTGCGCTGGCAGATGGCTGTGAAAGCACGGCGAGCCGTGTAGAAGGGGATCCCTGCCCCCCAACTGCGAAGCCTCTCTGGCAGCCCCACTGTCCCAACCGGGCTGAAGGGAAGGGTGGGAAGAAGCCCCTCGTTGGCCGCCGCCCCGCACCTGCGAGCGGACGGGGCGGCGATGGCCGTTGGAGAGGGGGCGAGCGAGTGAGTGCGGGTGGCGCTGCCACCTCGCGGCCGTTGGGAGCAGCCGTTCCCGCGCAGCCGCCATCTCGGTGCCGCGCGTGTCATGGCGGTGGCAGCCCGAGGGCGCTTCCATCGAGCCAAACGTTAGAAAAAACTAAATTTGGCGAGTTAAATTTGGCCGCCCCTTTTGAAACGGGCACCTGCTTTTTGATCTGAGCATCTATTTCTCTGGGAATTACCAACGGGAAAAGAAAGGCTGGAAAACAGACGCTGAGTTGTGCCTGATGGCTTCCAAAGCTCTTTTGTGTCCAACAGTGATCAGACTTTAATCGATAAATAAATCTGTCTCCGTTTTGGCTGCAAAAATCAGAAAAGTTTGCAGTGCTGAAGCTGAGAGGCACATATTATCACAGAATCACAGAATCACAGAATTGCCAGGGTTGGAAGGGACCTCAAGGATCATGAATCTCCAACCCCCCTGCCACACGCAGGGCCACCAACCATTCCATCTAATGCTAGACCAGACTGCCCAGCGCCCCATCCAATCTGGCCTTGAACACCTCCAGGGACGGAGGTGTTCAACACTGTTCAACAGGTTTTTTTTCTCTCCTCATGTTCACAAGTGACAGCAAGGGGAATTATGTGGAGATGCAATGTATTTTATAAATTGCTTCCCATCTGAGATATAGTTAACTCCTGGACAACAAACCAGGCGCGTTCTAGAGATCCCTCTGTAGAAGTACTTAGTGAACTTCAGGCTGGCAGCAAGAAGAGGGCAAATGCAGTTGCTGCTGTGTATTGTTGCAGTCTGTGAAAGGAAATGAGCCAAATGAGCTTCAGATAGCAATTAGGATCTAACTGTGAAGTACCACTGAGACACGCTGGTATTTGCCAAACTGCCATGGAAGAAAGAAAGAAAAATATCGCGGTACGTGGTAGATATTGCTTTTCATATGAAAGCACCATATTCAGGCTGTACAGATGGCAAACAAGTTTATTCCTGTTTTCTGTGAGTTACTTGGCCGTATGGGTTCCCTCTTGATCTTCCTTTATTTGTGAAAGACTGAGAATTTTAGAGATGTGTTCTACAGACATAAAGAAGCAAACTCTCAAAACTCTTGCTGGGGTGAAGTGGACATGAATGCAGGAGAACAATAGCTGTATCTAGCACCTGTGATTAAGATGGAGTTGTGCAAAGGCAGAACAGTTGCATTAATGCCTTGTTTTCTGCCATTAAACCAGTGAGTTTGTAAGTGTATATCCAGGGTGAATACGGCTGCTTGTTTCTTCACACATTGTTCCTTAACAAGAGTTAATAAAACTGATAATTTTACTTTCAGAATTGCTGCTGTAAAAGCTAAGTAAAGAGATTTGGGGACTAAATTAATTAATAGATTGGTCTGGTGGGGGCAGAATGGCAAAAGAGAAAGAATTTTCTATTTAGAAACTGAAAATTTAGAGTTGCAAAGAGTCAGAGAAATATAGGCAATTGTTTAGCTGTCCTTTACTTTTTAATGAACTGCACTTTCTCTTGATGAGCCATGACAGCTGAATGTTCACTCATGAGAAGAAAAAGCGGAATGCTGAAGTTACACTTGATTTACGGGATTTTATCTTTCACCAGAATTTCTTGCATATACACTAGATTTGTATGTTTCTCAGAATACTTACTTATTTTAAGATGTGTTGGCCATTCAGATGCCAGTGAAGCCAACTGGAAGCCAAACATTTTGTATTTCTCTCAGTTGTTTCTGAGTTAATGTCATTTCCAATCACAATTCTAGAGTTTTAATTGCAGATTTGAGGTTCAGTTCTGCTATTAATGCAAACATTTGGGGAGTTGGAATAGTGCCTCCAGGTCTGTGGCTGGACAAGTGGTCAGAACAGAAAGTTCTTGCATAAACATGCTTAAGACTGTATGTTTAACATCCTAAAGTAGCTTTGAGATGAGCCAGACTTCACAGGGTGTCAGAAGCAAGACCAGGGCTCAATTTGGATCTGGGTGACGTGTGCATGTAGGCTGTCTCTGGTGACTGTGCATTTACAGATGGGTTTACTTCACCATAGGCTATGCCTGATGCCAGGAATACTCTGCGTGATGATATGAGAATTTCATAGACAGTGGAATACTGAAACATATGAGGCAGTATGTTTAGAATCATAATTTCACAAGAAATTTGAACTTGTGACACTAGACTTTTACATAAAAAAGGAAAAGGAAAGCAAGACAGCAAGTTGCGGTGCACTGCAAGGTTGGAGGGCAGGGCAGGGTTTGAGCAGTAGCTGGTAGTTCTGTTTAAGCTTGTTGTAAATCCATAGAGTTTAACTGTGCAAAAATCTTGTACCAGTTTTGAGATGGGATGTGGTTTTTGCTGCATTTGTGGATTTCTTGGTTTTTTTTTTGTTTGTTTTTTCCTGTTTTGGTCCTTTACAGTCTTTAAGTATGCAGTTTGTTACCTCAGACTACTTAGGACAGTCATGAATGTGCACTTGCCACCCTACCAAAATACTTCATAAAGAACAGGATCGTAAGAGCTGTGTATCACTGCAACTGTTAAGAGGTGAAGTGTTTTGTCCATTCTGGACTCTGTAAGGTGAATTCATAACGCTCAGGTTCTACTGTTCTCTCGCTTCATCTTGTTAAGAACTGACAATGGGCGCCTTATTCTCACAAGTTGGTGCATCATCTATATTGATATAAGCAGTGTCCTTAATTTTGACTCTTGTATATCTGCAAGGGACCACAGTATGAATGGTAAGTGCTATGCACTGAGCCTGTTAGCAATTGAAAAGCAGAACGCTGCCTATTCTTGTACTGCAGTATTGCATTCAAACTCTCACACTGGCAGCTCTGGTTAACCTGCTTTATATGTTCTGCTGGTTGTTTGTGATATCCTCCATCCCTTCTGCTTTTTAAATGTGTATTAGCAACCTGCAGCTTTCAGGAAACTCCTAAGAATACATTGTCCTTGTATTTCATTCTCTTACTAGGAGAATCAAAAATGTGTTCCAGGTTCTACGTTGTATTTCTTTTACGTCTTATGCGGCTAATTTGCGGGATTTTAGTATTGACATGCTATGTTGTTTCTGTTCCTATTATTTAGAATGGACTTCAGGTGTGCTTGGATTTCCTGGAAAATACAGGCCCCTGAAATGTCTCTACCTCCCTGGTGTTTTTTTCTGTTCATGTTTTGGTAATGGCTGTTGCCAATTTGTTCTGCTTTGTATTCTCCAGAGGACAGTGGTCTCTAGTTCCAGACTGAAATTACCTGAAACTGCATATAATTTTGCTTATTAAAAGGAGGCACGTCATTTTTCAATATGTAGTAGTGTACTTACCATCATTTCCTTCACTTAGTTGTTTGGAAGCTGTTCCAATGAACTCAAGCACTGTTACCACGCAGTGGATTTGTCCTCAAAAGATAAACATTGCAAACATTTCACATGCTGTAGAGAAGGGATAATTTTAAAGAAATATTGCAATAGGAGCAAGGAGGCAATGTTCTAACTGTGTTTAAATACAAGGAGCTATTAAGAACTTGTCCAAAACAAGCAAAGTCTATTGTCCTAATTTTTCTGCAAAGAAGGATCCTTTTGGAGTTGATTACTGATAAATGCATAAGAGATTAACTTGTTTTCTTAATGGTAATTTATAATGACATAACCTGCTCTGTGTAATGCTCTCTTGCCCAGAGAAAATGAAAACAACTCTAGTATGAAAAAATCCTATTGCTGTGGGTGACATCTAGTTGCTCTTACTGTTATTACACACCCATTAATGGAAGAAAGCACTCACCCTTTCACTTTGCAGGAGCCTCTCCTGGGGACTTGACATGTTGGGGCTAGACAGAATTAATTTTTGGAAATATCTCTGTTTTGGAAATCCTCCATGGAAGATGGAACTTTTTGTCTCCTTCCTCCTTCGTGCTTAGTGAGGATAATAGCTACCAGTTTCAGATAAAGGTGATGTTACACTCTACAGTATGACTTTCCCCGGAGTCTCTGGAAGCAATGTAGATGATTATTACTTCCAGGGAAGACAGCATATACATATTGTTAGTCCTTTGTAGTTGAGGTAAATGGTTGGCAAAGAGTTAATACTGAAGAGTGTGCAGAACATGTCATAACACCTTTGCCACACAACTTGCAGTGCAGTTAGTTTTTTTTAATCTGGTTTGCTACTGTAGCTGCTACTGTAATGCCTGTGATTGGGCAGAGAAAGCTGAGGACTCAAAGGCTCTTGGATGTTTTCTCTTACGTGAATAAATCAGATACTTTGATACTTAGATGTGTGTAGGCTGGATGAGACTAGACAGGTTAACCAGATAGGCTTGGAAACAAGTATTGTTTCCAAGTATTTTCTCTATCTGGAATGAATTCTCATTAGAGTTATTATTGAATTTTCCTTTTCCCCCTAGACAACAGTACAAATGAATAGAGCCTGTTAAAGGTCTTATATATTTTGGCATGTTTACCTTCTCCAGAAAATCCACCCTGGAGATACACTAAGAGCTGTTGGAAGCACTATCTGGCTAACCCCAAGTCAGGCTACAAATAATCTTCTCTGGGATTGCTGAGCAAGAAAGGACTGCAACGTGAACAATATAGAGTGAGAGGGGTAATACTGTTGGAAGCCTTTAATCTAATCTAATCTAATCTAACACTGTTCAATTTTTCCACTGATTGGGAAGGAAAATTTTCTTACTTTTTCTTTCTAGTCACAGGAAGATAGCTCTTCAACTCCAAATGGAAAATTCATCAGGAATTAGCTGTTCTTTGGTAATCTCCTCCTGGAAATAATTGCATCTGATGATAGTTATTTCTTGGGCCAAATAGATTTACTTGAGACTCACAGGGGACTTGTAAGTAGGCAGATGCCTACATCACAAAATGATTATCCTGTTATGCTTTGATGTTAGCAGTCTCAGCAGACAAAGTAGTGGGTGGGGTTTTTATTTCCCTGTTTGTTTGTCTGACTCGGGAAGAAGTCTGCTGAGAGGAGACCTGAATTACTTCTACTTTTTTTAGATGGCTGTTAGGGATTTCCACCTCCCTAATTTTCAGTCTCTTCTCTCTCACTTACTAGGTAAAGAACAATAAACATATGCTGACAGTTTTGGTATTTACTGAACTTACTCTTAAAAGGATATATTGACTTTGTCAGCTAAGAAGGTGTATTGGCTATTGCCCAATTCTAAGTCCACAGGAGATCTTATCACCTTTAATTGGAGAAATAGGCACTCTGAAATTAATGCCTAAGCAGCAGTTTATTAATGAAATGTTTTTCAATTCAATTTGCCATTGAACGGGCAGAGCAGGCTAAATGAAATTAAGATAACATTAGGGGTGGTGTAGGGATACTTAGGCGTGCACGCACTTTGTACATTTAGGATAAATTAAATAGATAGCTGCAGAGCTTAGTGGGAAAAAAAAAAAAAAAAAAAAAAAAAAGATTGTCAGTATTTCCCAATGTTAATCAGGAGTATTGAAATGAGACTTCACATGTGAGTTGGACTTTTTTCATGACATTATCCATTCTGTACTTACAGACAAATTGCTTTATACTACAGATCACAGAATAAGAAATGATGTTAATGGTTGGAAGGACAATGCAATGTAGCCAGTTAATGAACGAGCTTGATCTTTACAGAAAATTATTTTGAGCAGATAACACACATATATAGAAAGAAAGATTAATTTAGAGACCTTTGTCATTAGAGCAGATTTTTGTATGGTTTTGTGTGGGATTTAAGGGGGATTAAATGTTTGACATCACTTTGCCTGCACAGGCTATGTTGAAGAGGTTACTGAGCGGGTGATGGAGAATTCAAATATGCTCCTGTGCTGAAAGAGTGGAAGCAATGGATCAGACTGCAGCTCGGCAAAACAAAGTGCTCTATTTACTACATTTCTAAAAGTAAGGTGCTTCTGATTTGACAGCAGATGCTGCAGGGATGTAGAGCTTAAGGAATTTTTATATTTTGCCAAAATATGAAGGGAACTCAGAGAGGACATCAGAACTGGGATGCCACTGTTTTCTTTCTTCAGTAATGCCTTGCTTCACGTGCATCATTTGTATGATATGCTGTTTCTAAACAGTAAAAACACTAAAAATAAAAAGTCAGCAAGGTGGATTGGCTGATCAGGTGCATTTATCTTTGGAAGAGATGGTCCTGGTCATTAAGCTTCTGTTCTTTACCTGCCTGTGGCCGACAGCAGTGCTACACAGCTCTCAAGGTCAGCATCACCATCTTCACCATCGGCAACAATTCTCATTCTTAAGAAAGCATAACAGGTAAGCAACATGTTCTCTCTGTCTATGTTCATCTGATTAACTTCATGCTGTCTGTCAGCAGTCTTTCAACGCATCCTGTCTGTTTATTGCCCTGTTTTGCCAGTTTCTGAATTTATACTATACATAGTGCATGGATAGAGTGTTCCCAGAAGAGAAATGTTAAACTATTAATTATCAGAGGTTTTTCATAACTAGACATTTCGTACTGTGATTTCCTGTACATTTCATATGATTATGCACATGCCCACACACAGCTCTTTGAAATTGTATGATATCAGAATACTGCTGTGATACATCGAGTATTTTAACTCTCTCACTCCCATTACAAGAAGTAGAAATGCCTTCCAAAGTTTGATGCCAACGTTATAAAATGACTTCCATTAACTAAACAGCAGAGTAACTAAACTATCAAGATACTGAAGACAATCTTACAGTAGTAAATGAAGTGAATTGTACTTTATGTTTATTGATGACACAATGTGCTCCCTTTCTGAAATATGCCTATGCTTTTAGGTACAGTCCTCCTTTTGGAAAGGGGATTGTATCCATTCTTAGTTTTTCCAGTCAAGTAGGTGGTTTAAAAGAAATAATGATACCAACCTTTCCACATTTAATTTTCTGTGCAAAGTGTTTGTGCTTTTTCCTACAACCACAATTTTGTATTTTAGATGTGGGGCCTTTCGTAGCATGTAAACAGACCACTGAGTGCTAGTGATAATCCAAGCAAAGTCTGTCTTTATAGAGATGTTGGAGACACTGTAATAAGTAGCCCTATTTAAGGAAGGAGAAATGATGGAATTGTTGCATTTTTTCATGTCCTTGACCCCCTATTAAAATAGGGGAACTGGTAGTTTGTTCATAATGATCACCTACTGAGGAAAAGTAAGTTGGATTCATCTAGCATGGGTAAGCTATTTTTAAAATTACATGCTTTATAACAGGCATACAGCTGTTTACATTCTGTATCTTTTTGCATGTGATAATCCAGCAGTGATATAGCTCTGAGTCCTTACAGATCTTGTTAAACTCATGGTTAAGCAATATAGGGCAAGAGAACATATCCCAGTGACACAATGCAAGTGCCTGCAGATGCTATATAGCTTGGTATTTCTGGATTCTGGATTTTCTCAAGGTCATAGGTTCAAGTTTGGCCTAAGCCAAGTGCTCAGGAACAGAACGGCAGACTATTTCAAGCACTAATAGTTTTGGAGTGAATGTGAGTGTGCAATTATTTGCTGTAATAAAACAAAATAAACAAAACTAGACCTAATGTCAAGATGAAGTCTAATCTGGGACTTTATTAGTCTCAGGAAGCAGTTAAGAATCAAATTGAAACAGAATAAAATGTCTTATTGTCACTGTAGGAGTAAAGGTCTGTTTTAAGCTTACTGATACATTTTTGTCAGTGGTAAAAGGGAAACATATGCTACTGTTATTTGCGTGTATCCTGTTCTGCAGTAGCTGAGAGGAGCTGCTTCGTCTCTGGCATACTAATTTAGAAAGGAGGAGAGAAGCCTGATGGGAAGAGGCAGCAAATGTGACATCCTGCTGGTCACTGCTGACCTCCTGCCACAAGACAACAGGTCAAGAGCAGGAACAATACTAGCACATTATCCCCTCCATCTTCACAGACCTTTACTAGTACCTACAAATGGATTCACAGAACAGTCCTGTGAGACAAGCAGAAGAAGGATGTTAACAGAATAGAAGCAAGGAGGAATGCCAACACAACATTCTCAGATAATGCTGACTGGAGTATCAGTTTTCCTTATGTGAGGCAAAGGTTTAGCCTTCTGTACCTTTTGCTAGGCCCTTGTGATTTAAAATTTGGAATTGGGAAGAAGACTGCAGGATCTGAGCCATAGAAGATACCAGAGCTTAACAGCTGCAAATCAGCTTTTCTGTGGAATGGATCCAAACACATTTAATTTCTTTTTGTTTGATTCTTTCTCTGATTCTGATTCTAAAGACAGCATTATCTTCCAGTATGTTGCAACACGGTCTGACTTTCCATCGGCCTCTTTTTCTTTCTGGGGAAAAACCTTTCAGCCAGCACCAGAGTTATTAGGGACACAGCTGACAGATGGCCTTGGTTAAATGGGTGGCCTTTTAGAAAGAATCCCATGTGAAAATGTTACTTAACCTACAAGTTCCACTGGTTTAATAGAGTAACCCAATTCTCCCTCCAAAGCTATTTGTCTGCATTCTCTTGTAAAGAAGATTTTAAAGCATTAACCAAAAGTACACGAGAAAGAGATTATTTTCATGGTCCATTTCCTAAAGCAAAGAACAAAACATTTGACTGTCCAAATATTAGGCTTTTTGACCATACGTATTGCTGATGTCACTGAACACTTGGAAATGCAGAGAGGAGAGGAGAGAGAGAGAGACAGAGAGAGAAAGAGAGAGAGAGAAAAAAAAAACTGTACAGTTTTGATGCTTATATTTATCTGAGTTTCAAAATGTGACAAATGACTTAAAAGTTTCTGAGGTTACATTGCTATGTAATTCCACAAACTCTCCTGGGAATATGTTCTGTAATTCTACCTTTCAATTGGTAGTAGCTGAAGTACCTCAGGAACATATAATTGTGAAGAACTTTCTGACCATTAAATCTAGGGCTCTTCATGGTATTCTTTTCACAGAAGAGTCCTTCCAAGTACTCTTTTCATAAACTTACCTAGTTTCATTTTGAATGTGATGAGATAACTTTTTCTCCACTAAGGAAGTATGGTATCTTGGGTACTGAATAAGTGTAACAGAAAGCAACACTTCTCCTGCCTATTATTCCTGAAATGTGAGTTTCAGATTTTTCTAAGTCTATCAAGATGAGAATGGTGTGGAAAGGTGTTTATAACTTCCTCCAGTCTGTTGCAAAGGCTTTTGCTTTCTTATAAATAGCATGGGACATTAAAACAGAAGAAGAGCCACATAGCATTTGGCCTAATGTCCATCTACGATTGTGACCTGTTTCTCACAATGGCTTTAAGCAGCAATTTGGAAGATTAAGTACAGGGCAAACACAGAAAATATTTTCTCCTTGTAGACCCTTGGCCTCCAGTCACTGTATTTCCCTCAGAAACTTACTGTGTTTGGTGTAGTTTTTGCAGACTTAGTGACCTTCTTTGTGTTTCTTCTCCATTAACTTGTCTGGTTTCTCCCTGAACCATAGAAAAGTTTCAGTAACGTGGTAACTTAAAGGCAACCAGTTAGATTACTAACTACATCACTCCCCAGAAGCCACTGGTTATGGAACTACACTGTTGATAGTTTGTGGTTAAATGCTTCAGCCAGATATGATCTCATTTCCTTGAGCAGACCTTTGACCTTTCACTTCCTGTTACTCATTCAAGGTTATATAGGAGCAGATGAGTTTGTCTTAGAAGCCTGACACATATTCATTTGTTGTTAAAGAATTCTGAATTAGTTGCTCTGGTTTTCTAGATAGTGACAAGCTGCTCTTTGAAAGCTCTGTAAAGCAACAAGGCACTGAGCCACAGGATCATGAAACAAAACTGGGTCATGAAGAATCCAAACACTATCTCACTAGTTTTTCATACAAAGAGCTAGTGCTTCCAATAATTTTCTGGTATAAACGCCAGTAGGGATGTCTTCCCTATGTGATCTGAAACATTTCAAATGCTTTTTATGTCCTCAGCTGGAATTTAATTATAGGCTACAATTTCATTTACATAATATAAATGTTGTCTGAAAGACAACCGTGAAAAGTAGAGCTGTTGTAATCGAAAGCAGTTGTTTCTTGAGCACGTGCTTCACTGAGGCTGACAAGACCATTTTTTTCCATTGCCCAGATCTATGCCGACACCAACATCTCTATCAGATATCCATTTGTTACAACTACCCCAGACAGTAAAGAGGGATGTTCTTTCCTTAAGTGCATGTGGGCTTTTCCTCTCAAACAATGCAGCCTGACATCTGCCACAAAACAAGGATGGAAAATCAACTGCAAGATTTAGACTTATGGTGCTCTAGCCAAAGCTGTGTAACAAACAGACCGCTGAAATACAAACTATGTCTTTGGTGTGCTTTTGTGAGAACAAAGTGTTCCACTGGCAATTGCCACACTACTGTGGTCTTGAATGACCTTGAGAAGCTCTTCTGAGACCTACACTAGTTAAATCTTTCTCTTCAGCTGCTTAATGGAATTGGCTCCATGGGAAGGAGCACTCATAAAAATATCTGCTGATGATTTCACAATGCTGTGTTACTGATCAATAGCAAGATACGGGTCTAGGATTTCTTGGGAGTAAACAAATGCATGCAATTCCCTTCGAGTCATCAGTTAAACAACTTTAAAGCTGCAGTGAGGAGAATGTAATACTGCAACTCTTAGCCAAGGAACAACATCTGGAGTCCAGATGCTGATGTTAAAGGAATATCTGCTGGAGAACATTTCTTAGCCCTGGGTGGGAGAGGCAGGCAAGCAGGAGAAAAAAGTGAAGCATAAGTGTGTTTTTAAAAAAATATATTTTAGATTTTTTTAATAGGATTGTTAGGAAAGTTGATATCTTTACATGTGCAATGGTACCAGCATCCAGGAAATTCATGTCAAGAATATGTACAACTGCATGTAAGTGAGTTTTTTCCCCTTTACAATTAAAAAATATTTTCTGCCAAAAGGAGGTACTGAAGAAAAGATGCTACATATTTGTAACGGAAATACTATTCTGACCCCTGCAGGATCTTTCCTAGCTTGAATAACCACTTCTGAGAGCAGCTAGAAATACTTACAGTTACTCCACCATTTGTATATAGAGCATCAGCTTGAAGATGCAATTCAAATAAGTGGACATAAAAGGCGCTTTTCATTTACACAGCATTTCTGTTTGTTTTTACTCATGTGAGAAAATGGAAGAAGCATCAAAATCCTATAGCATCTATTTTCAGTGATTTATTAAGAAAAATCGCCTGATATGGGTGCTTATGTTTTCCCTTTTGAGATGACTAAGGAAATTTTTCCTCAGTCACATACATGTTTCCAGTAAGAAGTTATAATAGCTGTACTGTAGCTCCAGCCTTGTTCTTCCTGTGAAATCATGGGAGCCTCAAACAGGTATCTTCCTCAGCACATCTAGTGACAAATAACCTAGTGCTTCCAAACTGAATTAGTTGTGCCAAAGCATTCTGAACACAATTCATCATTACCTCTTACATCAGTTCCCAAGCAGCAGAATTTTCCTGCACGCCCATTACAGAGCAATTCAGGTGTTTGTATCTACTGCCCATTCTGCTCTGACACAAACAGGCTTGCTTATGGCAGCTTTAATTCTCTGATGCGTGACGTTTCATTTTAGCATCCATGTAATTTTAATAATGAGAAAACTAAAGTCTTTCTTTGATATACCTGATGGATGATTGCCCTGATATTTGGTTCATGCAACAGTACCACAGTTCAAGAAAGACAGGTAGATAAACTTGGTCAAGCCCAGTGCTTCTGGTCCTCGCAGCCAGTGACATCATAGCATCTCTGTAACATAGCATTTTTAGAAGTAAATTCTCGGCTTTCATTATTAAAATAGGGGCTGGGGAGTGCAGGGAGGAGAAAAAAGCCAAAATAGCTGCAGATATACCTTATCTTAAGGTATTCTGTGTTAAGATAATCAGTGTTTGACCACAGGGCAAATAGTTATAAAAATTTCAATCATCTAGTCTGAAGTAACAATTAGAGTCACTGGCAGGAAAGTCTCAGTGAATCACAAAAGGTGTGAAAGAAATGATCTCTAGGGAGATTTCCTTGCCTGTGGCAACATAGCTGTATTTAATTCATTCCTACAGATTTCTGTCTAATATATAGCCTAAAACCTCCCCAAGCAATCTGTTCTCACCAGGGGGTGACACAGATCTCCCTTGTTGCCACTGCTGATCCTACCTGTGAGAGGACATGGAAAAAGGGCTCTGTAGAAGCTCGTTATGTGTTCTGAAGCTGTGGTGCATGCCCTCAGTCTTCCTCCAAATTAAGCAGCAGCAGTTCCTTGAGAGCTTCCCACATCTTTCATGAAAGGAATGCCCCAAACTAAGCTTAATGTTCCAGCTAAGTTTTGGCTGGTTCTGTTACTACTTGGAGCCAGCCACTTAGAGCAGGTCACGCAAGAAGGAGTGGAAAATGAAGGAAGCATCATAGCATTTTCCCTATAGCCAAAGTAAATAATGTAACCAATTATTTCTAAAGGCTGTCTCCCTGAGCTGCCAAGACTGGCTGCAGACCGTATCTGTGTTTTAACCCAAGTACTTTGGGATATGAGTATGTATTGGACCTCCCTACTGTTTGTGACATACTTTCTGTGTACGAGAAAAATGGACAGGAAGGCTGCACTGTGATGGGCAGCTACTGGTCATTTTAAATTGCATACATACCACATCAATTCCTTTCTCAGGTAGTGAACTTCTGCATGGAATCTCAAATGTGGTGCAGTACATTCTGTGAAGGGAAGAGAGTTAGCAGCAGTCCCTAGAAAGAACTGCAGAATTCATGGCAACCTGCTAAGAGCACCTGAACAGGTTCCTCTGTGTTGCCTCAGTGCTTCCCAGAGGCTCAGTTATGTGCAACATAATATAAACCACAAAGACAGTATTCTATGATACAAATGAATACTGTGTACCTGACCAGCAAACAGAGGATGAGATAACGAGCAAAAAACAAACAGGAAATTACATATTAGCATGTAACGTGGCCACAACAGATGGATGTTTGAGAGGATGTCAAAAAGGAACTTCCTGGATCCAGGACTATCAGTTTCAGAATTCTTCAGGGAAATTATTGACTCATTTGAACTTCTAAGGGGAAAAAAACCCACCAAACCAATCAACAATAAATAAATAAATTAAAAAAAAACAATCAAAAAACCATTTGAAATAAAAATATAATTGTCTCTGTAATATAGATAATATGAAGTAGTTTAAAACCATGGATATACAGTGCTATTTCCAAGTCTTTATTGAAAGCAGTAATGTGGACAGTGCCATTTTTTTCAGTTGGCTATAATCTCTTGCATAGTGATAGGTTCAGTCTCTGAGGGAACTTCACCGACCCTGGGGATGTTCAAGGAAAGACTGGATGTGGTGTTGAGGGACATGGTTTAGTGGGAGCTATTGGTAATAGGTGAATGGTTGGACTGGATGATCTTTTAGGTCTTTTCCAACCTTGGTGATTCTATGATTCTATGATTGTAATAGGTGTTCCTCATGAACCTGGGTGCCCTCATATCTGATTTCCCTACCTTTCACAATATGGATCTCCCCGACTTTAGCAATGCAGTAATTTCCTTTATCGCTCCAGATTCAATTGTTTACTGTCCAGGGTTCTTGAATCTCTGCTTCATTAAATGAGCCTTCTGTTGGGAAGAAAAAAAAAAAAAAGTTTCTTACTTTTTTATTTTTTTTAAACATAGCAAACGAGATATTAAAATGAGGAAACTTGACAGCACCAAAGTCCGGCCACTTAAATCTGAGCAACTTCTTCGCATAGAGGACCATGACTTTGCACTGAGACCTGGATTTGGAGGTAAGAAGTAGCAGGTACCAGTGCTGCACTTGTTAATAGTTCATTCTCGATCTGTAAGTTGCTTAAATGCTGTCAGACAATGCCATTTAAAATTGAATGACACGACAGCTTTAATTACAGCTCACTTCTTTTGGTGAGTTTCAGAAAATAAAGAAGAAACCAAAAAGTACTTGAAAGCAAAGCACCTATATTTTGTTTGGTGTAGCAGTAAGAGAAAATATTCAAATTGCCTTCTTCTCAAAACTGAATAACAGGGGTAATATTGTCAGAATACTACTCTTTGATAGTGATTAAGGTATCCCTGGAAACTGCATAGTTCAGTAGCAATTAGCAAATTAGTTATCATCATATTTGTTTTGAGAGATTGAAATGTAACATGAATTCCTAAATCTTTACTCTGCATAACATTTAATAGCAGGCCTTCAGTTTATTACCATGCAGTTTCTGCATTTTTGGGCTCTATGATGATTATTTCTTCATTTAACTAAATTGCATGTGGATAATGTGAGTATTGAATGGGATTTGGATTTTGACTCTCCTTGACTCCCTCTATGACTCTTTCATGAGTGGTAAGATGAGAAAGCTGCCCTATAATTAAGCTTTACCTGAGCTTTTGTGTCATCAGCTCAGCGTTCATGATTCATGGAAGCAAACTGAACAGCTCTGGTTTATGAAGCCAAAATAAAATATATGAAGAGCAATAATCAACTGTGTAAACAGGCACAAATCTGGGAGGCTAGCTGAAGCCTGTGGAGCTATTGTTGACACCAGCTGTGGGGATATTGGGCCTGGCAAGCATGCCAGGAGAATGAAACATGGAATAAGAAAAGCCTTTCTGGATGCATTGGTTGAGTGTGAAAGGATTTGTCATTATTCTACGAATTTTGGCTTGTCGGGGAACTAAAATCTTCCCTGTCTTCTAAGAAATAATCATGTAATTTCCATATCTTGGCAGCCAAAGTTAGAATTACCTCTTGCCTAATTCCTGTCTAGCCTACTATCTTTCATTCTGGATATTTTCCTCTTACTACCTGCCTTGTCACACAAGGCATTTGAATTTTTGAGAGTAACATCTCAGAAGTAGCATTTCAATGAAAGAAGCAACAATTCAAGATGTACTTTATCACTGGATCATCCCAGAAAGCAATACTTCTGATGTACATAAAAGTAGCTTTCAGAATATAGCCTGTTATCTGGCAATTCTAATTCTAATTTTCCACAGTCCATGTGAAATTTTTGTACCCAGCAAATCCGTACCAGGCTTTTTCCCCTTGTCCTTTTATTTTCAGATGACTAATCATAGAGCCCATTCAATTCCTTTTGAAGCCAGCTGTGTTTTTTTTCCACTGACTTCATTGCACAGTCCTCCTAATAATCACATTGCCATGGGTACAATTTCAGCTGCACTCCTGTCTTTCAGAAATAGCTTTCAGCAGAACAGTGTTCCAGCTTTATGCTTTACTTTGCTCTTCACATGCTGTAGTGTCATTGGTGACACTTGTAAAAGTCACATCCAAGAGTTCACACGCTTTTGTGTTTTCAGAACTCAATAAATGAAATACTTACAAGTCAATCTCTTTAAGAATAAAACATGGATATGTTTTTTTACAGCATACAGTAAAAACTCTCAGGGAAATGAATGTTGATCCTAAATTTATACTCCATTATTCCAGTCTTACTGTAGATTTCAGTGATGTTACAGTAGTAAAGAATGGCTTGATTTCTAGAAGAGACAGGTTAATGAGGGACAACGATTAGCACACAACTGTGACCTCATCATAGGACAAAAGCAGCTGACACATAAATCTGAATAACATACCTAGACTTACTGTCTGACAGCAGAGTATGGGTTTCTCTGATAAACACTATTGAATAAGTGTGCAGTAGAAGGAAACCTAACTAGAGAAGATGAAATTAGAGATGCCACTGCCTTGCAGACACTGACTAGAAATCACATATATCCTTCCCACAAGGTGAGCACTGCCACCATCAACTCTTGCAGTACATTCACTACAGCAATAGCCTGGGACTGACACAGATAGGGGACAAGGACTTTATTAATTTTTCTCTTCTTCACACTGCTCTCACAGCCACAACATGGCTCTGAACTGCATGAAGACTTACAATACTGTGGTTTTATGTATTTAAAGCAGATGAGATTCTGGCTTTGTTTTATCAAATGTAATAAAGCAGCTCAATACTGTGATTCCTCAAGGGCTGGAATCTGTCATGAGCCACAGTGCATGATTTATTCAGCTCAGCACAATGCATGAATTCACATTACTGATGTGAAAAATTAAAACAACAACAAAACAGGTCAAAATAGCTGCATGAAAAAGAAGTATTTTAAAATTATTCTTTAAAAGAGAGTTGATTTTTTTTCCCCCTTCTGTGTATCTCATTGGGATTTTCTGGGTATGTCATGAAGCTGGAATGATAAATTTTGTTAATTTCTACTGTGCCCCTTTCCTTGAAAAGATAAATCATCCTTTGCACCAGCTATGGGGAAGAAGCAGCTGGAAAATTTACACTGCTTTTAACCTTCTGGAGATTCCTCAGTTCACTAAACTCTTAAATCTAAATCTGGCTTGTTTAATTTCATTTAGCCCCACATATGTAAAGTGAATGAAGCAGATAACAGGACCCAGAGTTTTTAGTGTTTATAATAATGGAAAAACAGAGCACATGGTGAATTTTATTTGTAAACTGAGCAAACATCTGCACAGGAAAAGAGTTGGGGCAAATGAATATAGAGCTTGTGGACTCTGATACTACTGGCTGTAGCATTACTGGAAATAACTATGACCCTGCTCACATGGCTGATTTCTTTCTCCTGAGGATATATTAGTGCTCTTTAAAGATGAGGGTGAGCACATGTCAGTATCAGATGCTGAACTGAGACTTTTGGCAGCTCAGATCTGAGGACAACCATGCTGGCTGCCTTGACAGCCAAAACTATATACACTGAAGATGTTGTTTTAGTGAGCCACACTTAGAAATCCTTTTAAAATGATGTTCCTTTCTATATTTACGCATCTATTTTCCCATATCATACCATTTTTTTGAATTTTCTTAATTTAATGTACTGGCAGAATTTGAGTTCTTGGTTACCTGAGTTCTTTTCCCACATGCTAAAAATTTACATTGCCATTTAACAAATTGTCACTCTTTTATTCCTCTGTGCCTTGGTTTTGCTAACTATAAAATCTTTCCATATGGTCTGTGAACTATTTTGCAATCTAAAGATTGGAAAAACCACATGCTAATTGTCATTATGTACAAGTAAGTTCTCTATATGTGTGTGTGAAGTATAACAACTTTATTTTTCTCTTCTTTTGTGTCTTAATGACCTGTCAGGATCTATGCTAATAGAGTTAGTTAGGGTTAACTAATGTGTTAGTTGAAGAAATTTTAGAATTGGTTATCTCTGTTATGTCAACTACCAAAGGAGATAATAACATTAGCATGTATTAGAAATGTTGAAAAATAATTTAGTAGAAATTATCTGGTCAAGATGTAACAATCTTTCTAGAGAATTTGCATAGAATCATATAATTGAGTTGGAAGGGACTTTTAAAGGCCATTTAGTCAAACTTCCCTGCGATGAACAAGGACAATTATAGCTAGGTCAGCTTGCTTAAGGCCCTGTCAGCCTGATCTTGTCTTCCTGTATGGAGCACCCACCACCACTCTGGACAACCTGTTCCAGTGCCTCACTTCCCTTATCATAAAGAACTTTTTTTTTCTTATATCCTATCTAATTCTCCCCTCTTTCAGTTTGAAACCATTTTCCCACATCTTACACAAATTGCATCTCAATCAGCAATTTGGCACAGTCTTTATTCCAAGCTTTCAGAGGAACAGAGGTTCTATTAATTCATCACTCCTTGAAAGGTCAGAAACTTCTCACTCTGCTGGAGGAGAGTGACTCTGGTGAAAGTGGCATGTCTTTCTTCCACGTGGAAAGAATAGTTTGGATCCAAAACAGGAGAGAAATGTTTTGGAAATTTGCAAGACCTCTGATAGGCACCCTCTCCTAGATATTTTTCTGTACACTGGTAATTCTTTTGTTCCAAGAGGTAGCTATGGCTAACTCATCCCCCTTCATTTTCCATGTAAATAAGTAAGAAATAGAAGAGTAGTAAGAAGAAAATACCATTGCCAGTAATGCTGCTGTTTCACTCATTGCCAGAGAAAGAAGATACATCCACACCACCCTGTGGCTTGTTTCACTTCTGTCTCTGGTTTTCCTTCTCTATGTGCCCACAAACCATTTTTAGAAGAAAGCTTTTGTAGAGACCTCAATCCTTCCTCGGTTTCTCTCTCCCTTACAGGGAGGTTTTGTAGACTTAGTTTTTTTCCAGCACTGTTACCAAGACAACTGTGAAAAATCAGTGACTGATTCAACAGTTATCTCAGGGAATTGCAGGTGCAGTCTTTTGAACTATATGTACAAAGCTTTGACTTCTACAAAAATACCACAGAATTCATTAAGCAAGTTGTTATTACTGTAGAAATTGATCCTAAAATGCTAAAATAATATCTCTTTTTACAATATAATAGAATTTGTCTGTCTTTCTATCTATTAAAAAATTCTTCTTGCTATGTTAAACCTTTGAAATAGACTAGAAATGGCTTGTGTTAGGATAAATCCATCTGAAAACAATTCTATTTTTTCTGCTGGGGAGTAATTATCTTGAAAATCTGTGGAACCTCCATTGTGAAAATCACTAATCCCTCTAAAATAATGATTTGTAGCAACGCTCCAGCAGCAACTGAAGCTGCTCAATTTAATAACTAAATCCTCTCTGCCATCCCCAGTCTTGTCAGACTGGGAAATAAAAAACACAGCTTTTCTCTGGTTACTTTTTTTCAAAGTGAATTTGATGTCATTGCCTGATGGTCAGCCAGAGATTGAAATTCTCAGTATATTAAGGGGAAAGCTGTAGTGCTGACATAGGAGTAGAAAAGTGACCCTTTCTGCCTGTTTTGGGATGTTTATTGAAATGTTTTTTTTCTTAAATACATCCAAATTTGATAGAACAAACCCAGAGAACAGAAAATTTCTACTATTCAGCAACCTGTTTCCAACATCTCATTATTACTGTTTCTGGTGGAGTTGATTTTTAATCACAGAAATAAATGTTCCAAGAAAACTACAAAGTTCAGAAGGTGTGGACAAGAGTAGGGCCAAAACATTTCTTGCTAGCATGTTAGTGTTAGTGGCAGAAATACAATAATGTTTCAGGTCACTGAAGTGACCAGGACTGCATATCTATGCTTCGTGTATTTATCATCCACTTAAATTTGTTGCCAAAGTAGAATCAGAATGAGATGAAAATATTTGCAGCTGCTATGATCTGTCAGTATGGTTTTATAATTGTCTGTGGTGAATGCTAAACTGAACAGGGTTTTCTTCTTAAGCAGTATGAGCATGCTCTTTGGCCAATGCACAGGAAAAGAATAGGAATCTATTTCTAAGGAGCATGTTTCACAATTCTACCACATAAGGAACCAATTTCATTGCAAAAGTTCTGTTTTTCTGTATTTCATTTTAGAAACACCCTTTGTAATTCTCCTGGCTGCAGATTTTGATCTCTGTTATTCTCTTCACTGTTCACACTGACTTGCTTTTATAACAGTTCCCAACTGAGTGCAAGTTGTTCATTCAAAGAATGAAATAAAGAATGCATATGTATGTGTAACTAGCATTTCAGCTTGTGTGCATGTAATCAAAGTAGTCACGTGTATTTAAGCTGCTAGTTCTGTGACCAATTCTTTTTTATCTGCCCAGATGACATGAATTATTAATTGAAATTCTGCCCACATTTGAATAGTGCTTGTTGGGGGCAGAAAATAGTCTGTATTTTTTCACACAGCCCAAGAAATTGTTAGTACTGCCATCGTTACACTTTGAAGATCTGTCACTCAGAAAAAAAATGCATTCCTTGCAATGCATGGTGTGTGTTTACTTGAAAAGCCAGTCATCTTGTTCTGTAATATAATTTGTGGAAGTTCCCTGCATGTCTGAAGGATGTTAATGGAAAACAGTTTGCTTGTTCTTGACCACAAAACTGGTAAAAGCCTTTGTTTTACATGGAGAGTAGTTTCCCTCTCCTCCCCCTCTTTCCAAATAACTACACTCACATGTCAGTGGGACTTAACACACAGGTTTTAACATTCTAGTTACACAGATCACTCCCGAAGTTTCAGTAATACCAGTTAAGATCAGGTGTACTCAGATATGAACACTTCCAGTATGTCCTACCATTTGCCTCTTCCACAGTTCCAGAGTAAGTTTGGAGATACAATATAAAAAAAGTTCAAGCTTCTTGGTGAGTAAGCTTAGATAAAATGCAGTTCTTCTGCCTATTTGAAGCTCCTCTGGCAATCAACAGACATTTCTAAGGCCCAAGTTGTCTCATCTCAATTAGAAATCCAGAAAGTACTGGTTACACTGCATGGATTCTAAATATCAACAAGGCCATATTTCATCACTGTTGTCAGTCTTAGTAATGACCATGCTCCTAGGCCGGAGCACTGTGCTTCTACAGCTAGCTTGCTCCCTGACTCACCCTGCCTTACAGCTAGCTCAGGTATCAGCTCTGCAAAGTGGGCTGATCCTGCTGCATCGTGCAAATGAGGAGCTTGATAGACACTGCCTCATCTTTCTGCCATGTTTGCATTTAAATGATGCGTGGATGCCACCTGTGAATGATGTTCACAGCATGTATAAATCCCACTACAGCTCCCACTTAGGCTAAACGTGTCTCCAGCTCACAACATATTTAGATTTCGGTGGAATGATGAGAGGATGACAGCTCAGACTACAATCCAGCATTTTTGTACCAATACTTGTTACAAATCAGTATTTAGCAGAAGTAAACTGTTTATGTGGTGTGGTTGGGATTGTGTGGGAAAAATAAAGAAGATACGTAGCTGAACCTGGTTTAGGAGAGGCACAAACAATTTTATCAGTTTGCATGAAAAAGAGTGATTGGATATGTATGTCAATACTCTTGTACACCAGCCTCTCAGGGAGATGTCTCCTGCATTCTCTACTCTCCAAAAGAAACAGTTTACCCCAAGTGCTATCTAGAGTATTACTTATGCACTAGTCAACTGAATTCTGTTTTGATCTTTGAGCCTCTTGCAGATGGACTGAGCCACAGATTCGTTTCAGAAGCAAAGATGATTTCTCAGCCAGGCAGCACAGCTCTTGTCATTGCAGAGACATGCTCCTGTGTGCCCTGCTAACTCTGGTCACGATTTACCTTGTTTTTCCACACACATTCACATCTGTTCTATGCAGGGTCAAACCCTCCATTAAAATATACAAGACAAATCAAGAGATTACAGAGCCAGATTTTAAAATACCTCAAAAATAGTTCAAGATCTCCACTGTTAAGAACTGGAGGCAGCTGCGTAATCCTCAAGGGCTGCTATTTTAAGTATAATTCCAAAAAGAGACACAGTATTGTGGCTGGTTATCAGGAGAATGATATTTCTGGACTACTTTGGCTTTACTCTAAAGAAAATGCAAGAAAAAGAAAAAGACAAGTTAAAGGAGCTATTGCTATCTCCTGTTTGTTCAGACTTCTTTTACTAATGTTTTGTATTACAATATTTAAATGTTTGCTTTTAAAATGTTTTAAAAGCAAACATTTCTTCCCCTTAAAAATATGGACTGTTTTTTACAAATGTAATTGGAACAAGTACAGTGGTTTATTATTCATTCCAAATGCAGACTATTCTTCATTGTACACATATGTGCACAAATTTTTCTACTCCCCCTCTTCTGTAAGGAAGTGCTTAGTCAGTTACTTAAGTGGAATGACTTGCTTGCTGAAGATTACACAGGTATATAATTAGGCCTTTAATTCTAGATATTGTGTACTGAGGAGACTGGAAGAAATATATTTTGCTGTAATTTTAATAGGTTTTAATCCCTTTATTGCAAAAATGCAAATACTGCTTTATAATACACTAATTCAGTCTGCACTGTGTTGTAAATCCACAGCCTTTTTCAGTAGCATGAAACAGTGATGTGATATATTAAAAAAAAAAGTCCCTGACTGCAATTCAGTGTGTGTTGTACTTGAGAATAAATTACCTACTCAGCAATACATTGTACACACAATTCTCCATCTTGTCATATGCTTAGTGCGTGCACGGCTTTTCCTTTATGAGGTAGTGAGCAAGTAGTAATCCCTTTTCACAGATACTTATGCTAAACATTAAATAATTAAGTTAGTAAAGGTAATTAGGAAGCATAGTAGGCATTTTGCTTATAAGTGTGGGAATAAGAGTTGGGACTGACAAGTAAGCTTTGTGGTCTTTGGTGTAGGTGGTATATTTACTCAGCTTTTCTCTACGGCACTTCAAGCAGTTCATTAGCTTTGGCACTGAGAGGAAACTTGCACTGCTGTCTAAACTGCAATGTCAATAACTAGTCTAGCCGCAAAGAAATCGTTATTTCTTATGCACTTATTTCTGCAACTATTTAATGTTGGGTTTTACTGTGTTGCCAAGGAGTTTCTCATTTGGTATACTGTGGTGGACAGACCACAGCAAACGATGGTATGGGGTGTACTCTGCATGTTGTTAATACACAGTCTTCCCTTTAAAAATATGGACATACGTTCCTCATCACTCTTTCATTCTGTTGCATTGAAGGGTCGCCAATACCTGTGGGCATTGATGTGCAGGTAGAAAGCATTGACAGCATATCTGAAGTTGACATGGTAAGTTGGTGAGATAAAGAATTTCAGCCAAAACTCAGGGTCCCAGAAGCATCCAGGTGGATGACACAGAACAATACATTAAAGGACAGTGAACTCTTAGAAGAGCACAGCCTTGCTGTGAAGCATGGAAGTTATCTTCATTTATGTTAGTAAGTGTTAAGTATAAGCACACATTGAACATTTCCCTAACTAACCCAGAGGAACAGAACAGAGTGCTCTTATTGGAAATGCCAGCAATTCAGTAAGGCCCATGGGCTTCCACATAAACTCTTAGTGCTCTGCACTATTGAAGATGAGGGTTCATGTATTTTGCGTCCTTCCTTCTGCAGATCTTAATATTTCTCATCCTTTCTGTCATGGTGGAATAGTGGATACAACAAATGGAAATATAAAAATATAAATATAACAACGAGCTCTAGGAAACACCCTCAACTATAGTTAAGGACATGTAGCAGAGGAATGCAGGATATTTGTTTCTCCTCCAAAATTATCACTAATAGTATCACCCAAACATTAGTGGCAATTTGCTTAGACCTAGAACAGCTGGGCACCTTAACTTGGCAAAGAGATCTCATTTACAGTAATCTTCTCATGCCAAGAGTAGATCTAATCGTCGATGCTGAGATTGCTATGGGTTCTATCTATATGAACCCCTGCATTCCTCTACAATCTTACCTAAATCAGTAGGTTTCACACAGGTATAAAGTCATGTTACAGGAGGAGGCCTAATTATCTTTCCAGTATTATTTTCAGAAGTAATTGTTCTATCAAGATGAGTGATACCTGCCTAAAAATGGAAAAGCTAGACAGGTGAGCACAGAGCAGTCAGGCTGTACAGAAGCTCAGACTGAATTTCCAGCTGCCTCTCCATTTTTTTTTTCACATGCATATTTTTAGCCATGTTATTTCTCTAAGATTATTTCATATTTTTAAAAATTGTAACTCTTGTGAAATTTGTTTATTCTTATGAAATTCACCATGGTGTTTTTACATGATTCATTTCATTCATAGAAAATATACAAATCTAAGCTTTGTATCAAACATACAGATTAATGGATTTTACAAGCTGACCTGGAGAATCTATAAAGGAATTGTAAAGGAACTGTAGTCCATTCTGAGAATAACTTGTGAAAATTTCCACAGGAAAGCCCCCAGTTCACATTAGTTTGATTTTAAAGTTTCTTTTTTCCCTCACCAATCCAGCAGACCGCTGAAATCTGTTCTGTCTGAGTATATATGAAGCATGAACCCCAATTCAGACACCAGTGATGAGGCAAACAGCAGGTATCTCAGAGATAGCTCCAGTCTGTATTTAATCTTGCTGAATGGCATCTCATTTCTTTCACTGAGGATCCTCCACATGATGTTCATAGCAGAAACTGTTCCTTTACATGAGTTGATTATTTTGTTCTGTTTTTTACTGTATGTAAATAAAACATGTATTGTCTTCTTTTATTTTTAATTAAACAAAGGACTTCACAATGACTTTATATCTCAGACATTACTGGAAGGATGAGAGACTTTCATTTCGTAGTACCAAAAACAAAAGTATGACTTTTGATGGAAGACTGATAAAAAAGATCTGGGTACCTGATGTGTTTTTTGTACACTCCAAAAGATCTTTCATCCATGATACAACTGTGGAAAATGTCATGCTCCGAGTGTACCCCGATGGCAACGTACTCTTCAGTCTAAGGTAAGGACAATCTTCTTTTATAAGACAATACACAGCTACAGTTGTGGGTTCTGCATGGTGAGAAATGACTTGAAATCTTTGCAGTTAGGATACTGATTGGCGTTAAACCATTGGTGTTGGATACTGAGTACTGGTGACAACTAAAAATTCTCAGTGTACCAGTGGGAACATAAATTGAGGATTGATAACTTAAGGATAGCTTCTTATTAACATATTGTTCCCCATCAGAGGATGATGGCAGTTTTTTCATCTGTTGTAAATACCACTGAAGTTTGTCAAATGTTAATTCATTACCTGTGGTTTTAGCAAAACTACAGTAATTCTACTGAGTGCAGTAAAGCCCCAAATTGTTAGCAAAGAACAAATACTTTTTTTCCTGAGTCTTTTAAAACTCTCTCTGCTATTTTCACTCTGGGGTACCTGTGAACATAGCATTAATATAAATCAGGGCTGTGGACAGGCACAGAGAGCAGATCACAGCAGTTCCAGAACTGGAACAGCAAGGCCATTAAACGTACCTACACATTATAAGCAGATGTGGATGGTGTGGCAGAAATAGTTTTAATGAAAGTACTTTCCTCTAGGTAGAATCTCTGGGGCCTGTGCATTGCAGAAATCACCGCTCTCCAGTTTATTACTAATTAGCCCTGTGCTCAGAGGTGATATTTCATCTAATCTGGATAACTGGAAGAGTCATGCAAGCATTTGAGTTTTTGGCTATATAATAATTGTTTCAACAAGTAAATGAATTTATCTACCCCCTCAGAAGGCATACAGAAACCCTCACAACTGCTGTACACCACTTTAAAATAGCATAAGGCTTTTATGTTCGAGAATCATATTGGCCAGCAAGAAACCATGAGGTGAACTATTAATTTTGTTGTTACAATCACTTCTGTGCTTCATTAAAGAGAGGAATTAGACCTCAGCTTACAGCAGTGGCTCTCAATATGAGGGTATGACTCTGTGATGGGAGCCCCTGCCCTGCATCCTACATCCTATTTGCAAGCTGATGCCCTACTTTTACAAGTTGCCCTTATTCTCTCAGCTCCTTTCTTTACCTTGCCTTAGCCCTGCATTAACTGATGGTGGGTACTGGGTGGCTTCTATTCCAGTGAAGAGCAAATCCTCAGAGTTCCTAACAGGCCTGCAAATTTCTTCCTGGACATAAGTATCAAGGGCAGATCCTGTCCCTTTTCTCCCCTTCTCTATCAGTTCTTACCAAACTTATAGGAAGGGGGTGACATAAGGCTGGTGAACCAAGGTTTTGAAATGATTAAGGTCACATAGAGTATTTTTAGTCTGAGTGGTGTTAATGCATACATTCCTAAAGAATCGGATGCTCATTTAAACCCTCTTTTTGTATGGACAGATTTACATGCAGTGGGTAGATTATATTCCAAATTCTTACATTCAAGATATTTGCAGTTCAACAGTTTTTCTTCAGTGCCTGGCATACAGAATTTTATTGAAGAAAAACTGAACAAAAATCCGGATTTGGTACTAAAATAGTCTCTCTTTTTTTTTTTTTTTTCAACCCACATTTTATTGCTGTGCCTATGAATCTGTAGTCAATACCTAGAAGACAGAAATAATATCCGTAGCTGGAAGTGTTATGCATTGTTTAAAAATCTATCTCGTTTCAACCCAGTAAAACCTGATATTTGTAAAAATGTACCTACAGTGTGATATTGATCACAAATATTCAAAGATCACTCATATACCTAACACATTCAATACCACTTACGTCAATTCAATTGATTCAATCTGGGGAAAACTGAAATATCAAAATAAAATATCAAATGACATGCGAGCTGGGACATGAAATGAAAATTTGTCAATATTTACTATATTTAAATTGCTGCTCCTAGCCTTTTATTTGTTTGTTTATTAGGTTATTTGGTTGATATGCTAGGGTGCATTTACCTTCTAAATATCTGTGAAAAAGCAAGTGGAATGAGAAATTAATGTTTTTGTCTATGTTTACCTAATCTTTTTAGAGCATAAAACATTTTTGTGGTATTGAAGAAGAGAATATTCTTCCAGAAACCACAGCTTATCTTTTGTGCAATTAGATATAATTAGATATTATAACCATATAATAGCAATTGTAATATGGGAAAAAAGCAACTGGAATAATATTTGCTCAGATCTATAAAATTATCTACTTCAGTCTCTGAGAAGATTAGTTAAAAAATGTGAACTCCCTTTGCAAATCTTGGTAAGTGTAACCCTTTGAAGCAAAATGTATGAAAGGTTAATGAAAGATCAGACCAATGAAGAGTTTGTAAATTGAGGGTAACATGCTTGATAAGAAAAAGTATTTGTCTTTAAAAATGTATGTTCTCACTGTCTTAGTTTTATATCAGTATCTCAAAGAAATTTTAGAACATCTAATAGGAGCAGAAAAAGTCAATCATTCGGATTCAAACCAGCAGGTTGCTTGGGGATCTCAATCAGAAGCCTACACAGTCCAGAGAAAGTGTGAAATTTTTCATTTACTGCTTGTTTTTCTTTTCCTTTCTGCAGAATAACAGTTTCTGCTATGTGTTTCATGGATTTCAGTAGGTTTCCTCTGGATACCCAGAACTGTTCTTTAGAACTGGAAAGCTGTAAGTTTAATTTATGCCTGCTCCTCTCAAGTGCATTCTTAGCAGCACTCATCTTGTTGATAATACCTTTCCCACCTGCGTGTGACTGGAATCCTTCCACCTGTGTATCAAACAGCTTTGGATCCAGTTTTGGATATTTACATAATTCAACTATGGGAAGACAGAAAAAGTATCATACACTCTGCTTTGTTTTGATTGGGTTAATGTTCCAAAACTGCAATCTGAAATATTTTCTTTATCAACAATCATGCTTTATTTGAGGGAAAAGAATGCAAGTAAAAAGTAAAATAGTATGTCAGTATTTGACCTCATGGAAAAATGAAAACGATTACATGTGTTACTGTGATATGTCTGCTTTCTTACCCCTGACTCAATGGTTTGTACTAAGCTGTAGAACTGGACATAGAAAGATAATTGTGTCCTGCAGTGCATTTTGATATCTCAAGATGTATTCTTATTTGGTTGGGAACAAACTGCCTGTGCTTGGGCAGTCTGCTCAGGCAGTATGGCAGCTCCCAAGCTGCATCCCTGTGCCCTGGACCCTGGTCACACCCGTGTTCCCCCTCTGTCATGTGAGCTGCTGGCATGGCACAGGACTCCACCTGCAACAAGGTGCAATATGACTTTTGCTTTTTTTTCCACATCAGCTAGCTGGCAAATGGATATTAAAAATGTTTCTTTGTGGTTTTCTCAAATTGTTTTGAGCGGTCTCCCATTGCTAAGAAAAGCAAGCAGAAGTGTTATTCCAGCAGAGGTGATTTAGTTTTTACCTTCTCACAGATGCATACAACGAAGATGATCTGATGTTATACTGGAAACATGGAAATGAGTCCTTGAGCACAGATGAGCACATTTCCCTCTCCCAGTTTTTCATCGAAGAATTCAGTGCTTCCAGCGGACTTGCGTTTTACAGCAGTACTGGTATAGTAAGACCCTGTCATTAGAAAAGAAGAAGGGCACACAGCCATACTGACTGTCTTTCTCCTTCAAATTCATTAGTAAATGTCATTTACTATTGTCAATAGTAAATGTTGCTGAGAGATCTGTTAAAATGAGAGCTGTCAATCACATTGGTCTGTTAGCCTCAGTCTTAGATTCTCTTCACATTACCTGCATAACCCTTGCTCAAAAAGGGAACTCCAATGTGTTCTATGGTCTAAAATCTCCTCATTTTCTTGATCTGTAAATGGTCATTAAAAATCTACTGACTTTAAAAATTCTACATGAGTGCATTTATAACCTACGGAGGTCAAATTCACAGCTTGCTTTATGTTCCATGTTTATACATAAAGTTGCAGAAAAAAAATCCTTTTATGTCATGGCTACATTGTTTACATACAGGTGCCTGCCCCAAACAGTATTTTATTCCTCATTACAGATCTTGAACTACATTTTCTAGCAAACTGCACAAGACTGTAGTTTATTATGATTTCAATTTCATGCAAAGTGGTTTTTATTTTCTTTGCATTTGTACATATTTGTACATGCAATTACAAACTTTGAAATATTTCTCTATGTAGGTAGTCTAAACATACTTTTCTTAACCAGATAAAATGTCATGCTTCTAGTGTACTTCCTAGTCTGAGATGATTCATTTCAGAGAGGTTATTGCACTTTATATACAGGCAGCTTAATGAAATATATAATATTCCATATAATATGTTAAATGCACAACTCATTGGAAAAAAAACCCTTTAAGACATGCAAGAAGGCTGCAAATAGACTTACCTAGTATATCTTAACTACAGGATAGCTTCTTTTTGCCTTTTAGAAAGATTAAGGATTCAAGTTTGCAGTGAGGATTCAATGGCTGACATTTAATGCAGAAATTCCAATTTAATTTACTCTGCAGCCTAAGCAATGAGAAATTCACAGCTTGATCAGCTTCTTCATCCTTATCTCTTGCTTGTATATGAGCTAAGAAGAGCTCCAGCTTTCAAGAGCCACTGTCACGTGAGAATTGGTGATACCTAGCTATTGCATTTGTACCTTGCTGAGAGCCATGTCAAATTTGTCCTTGTTGCAAGATGGAGACTGGGATGGTTTCTACCAAACTGCTATCACTGTGTCCAAACGACATTCTGGGAACTCAGCTATTCTCATCAAAAAGCACTCATGCAAGCAAAGACAGCGTTGCACACAGCAGTGCAACCTCATACCACCTCTGTACTTTTCAGGACCTTTACAGCACCTCTGACTTCATAAAAAGTAACACTTAAATGCAGATGTTTTGAAGATAAGCTAACTCAGCAAGGTAAAGACAGAAGAAAAGACTTTAAGGTGACCACTGGGAGGAACCAGGGGATAAATGCACATACAGTATCTATTAACTAGAACACTGACATTTGTAGGCATGCACTTTTCTTTGGCTTTGAGTTCTGGTGGTCAGTTGGGAGCTTCCACTTTCTCCTTTTCTTTTGCCTCTTGTTGAAAGAAAGTGTTTACATGCACAGCCTCCTCCCCAGCAGAAGTGAGGAATAGCAGAGGACTATCAGCATAATTCTAATGGCGGCCATCTCCTGAAGATTCTTGGACAAAAAATGGACAAAAATGCTGCTCACAGAGCATCTTTCTGCACTTCAGGTTGTGTGTCATCTTTCCTGTGAATCTCAGTGAACCACACATGTGTAGCCTTTAGCCTCTTGGAGCTCCCTGGAGCAACAATGTGAAACCATTTATAAGACAATCGTTTTTAAAACCGAAACCCTGAAAGAACATAGGGTGTGTTTAATATTAAATAATTGCAAAGATATTTCTTTGTAAAGTGACTCTTTGTGATGGCATGACAGTTCCCATACAGGCTCATTTCTGTCTGCAGTTGTATAGGAAAGGCAGATGCTGCACAGCCAGCCATGTTACCTTCTTTTCACCTCACTGTATACAGTTTTCCCCTGCAGACGGAGCTGCACACATGCTTTGCTGCACAAAGCATGCCCCAAAAGTCACTAGATGGCACCCTTTCCTTTAAAGTCAGCACTGGGCAGGCAAACAGATCTGAACAAGGCAAACGTGTGGCACGTATTTATAGTGAAGAAGCAATGCTTCTATGCCAAGGTATCTGTATTTTATACCATGAGGTATGGATGGACAGTTTGAAAAGCCCTATATGAAATCAGGATGACAACAATATTTCGTAGGTATTTACTACAGGGCTGGTAAACAGAGGTCACAAATAACACAGTTCTCGTTTTCTCCCCCAACCTTTTCCTCTCCTTTTTAACAACAGGCTGGTACAATCGACTTTTCATAAACTTTGCACTCCGGAGACATATTTTCTTTTTTGTGCTACAATCGTATTTCCCAGCCATGCTGATGGTGATGCTGTCTTGGGTTTCTTTTTGGATTGACAGGAGAGCCGTCCCTGCCAGGGTATCACTAGGTAAACCTTTACCATTTATTCTTTTGTGAAGTGTAGGATGGATAGGGGAGAGATCTTGAAGTTACCTTAGCTTCTTATTTACACAAGACAAATATATCAGATAATTGCCTGAATAATTGTATACAAACTCCTTTAGTCAACCTCTATGTTTGGAAATTGTATGTTTCTTCTAACTGGCTTTGATGTACTAGCAGCTAACATACCAAAGAAGGAATGAACGATGATTCTGCAGATTTCTTGAGTAGAGTTTTCCTTCATTATTTTTTATTTTTCTTTTTCAAAGACATTTTTTCTGCTATTCCCAGTATTCAGATCCATCCCTAAATTCATGGCTCATGAGAGATACTTCACAGGCAGTGCAATATCCATCTAAAAGCTTTGTAGCTCTGCTTTCTTTCTGGAAACAGTTGATATCTTCCTACCAACCTGGAATCATTTTCCTGATTTGTCCTGGTTAGCAAAGCCTTTATTTCTCAGGCACTTTGAATATGTTTGCTTTGGTGTCTTAACTGTGCAAGGCATGCAGGCTGCTGTGGAAAGCTAAGAGTAAGTTGGGCACCTTTCTGCTCTTGTTTTTTTAAATTCAGAACACTGCAGCTTGGAATAAAAAGATTGATTACTGTAGGGTTTTTTTAATAACATTGTTGTTTCTCAGTGATGACAGTTGACATCAGTTCAAGACTGGTTCCAAAAGTTGATTGTTGTTTTATTTCCTGGACGAGTGAAAACTTCGAGAATCTTTGTTTAAGAAACAAAATATCATGTACTAGGCAGCCCTTAATATTTATCTATAGGTATAGTAATCAGGCTTTCTATTAACAGAGTCTAAAACTATTCATATAAGATATATAAATATATTAATCTAAAACCAAATTATGATACCTGGTTTTATTAATGCATTTACCAATTTATTTGTAAGAAATTTAGCTTCATGTTTAAAAAGAAAGTTTAAATTCTCAGTAAGTCATTTGTAATGTTGTCAAAATGTTTTTTGCTGATCATGTTCATTAATTTATATATGGGTTTATTCAACATGTTATGCATCAGGAGTTTAATGAATAACACACATTCAATTAGCATAAGCATACATAATTTATAGGCAATCTTATCAACAAAGTTTATAAAGCTTAGCTCTCTAGCCTAAAGTACACACATTTTTAATAAACAGCTTTCCTCCTATAAAGTATATTGTAGACTCCAAACTTCAACATAAGAAACTTGCAGAGAGAAAGGGAAAACTCTTGCATATTCTGGCAGGCTTGAACTAGCATAAAATTGGACAGAGGTTTTACTGAGACCGAAGTGAAAGACCGTGCTATTTGCCACTGCAATCTCACAGAGGTTACTGAGATGTTGTCATTTTCAGTGTATTAAAAGTAGGGCCTGGGTTGGATTTTATAATTATAATTATTATTTTCTCCAAGACAGAACACAGCAAAGCAAGGTGAATAGGGTCACATCGAAGTAGAAACTGAAAAGATGAAGTTGAAATCCTAGACACACTGAAGTCAACAAACATTCTGTAGTTTCAATGTATGTTTTTAGAATCAAGAAATTATGACAAAGACATACAAATTGACATATATTGCCAAGAAGTACAATTTTAGAAGGGCTTAGGAAGGAAATTGGTGGCTCATTAGTGAAGTTCGAGGGATGAGAAAGTGTATAGCAGAGACACTGGCTCTGGGAAACAAGACCACAAGCTTGCCTTCACTGCTCTATAGAATCATAGAAAAGCTGTCATAGAAAGTACTCCTTGCACTGCTGAATCACCAGCCTTGTGTCCCCACTGCTCAAACATGGTGGGCTGAAGCTCTGACTGTGCACACTGAGTAGAGGCAGATATTACTGTTTCAGTGTTATTTTTGATAGGTGGCTTACATAGCTTACTCTACTTCTCAGACCCTGTGCTGTGTAGCTAAAGGCAGTCTCAATCACCCACCTTCAGGTGCTGTCCAAGCAATGGTGATGAGATAAACAGAACCAGCTGGCCTGTATTATGATAACCTTCCCTTCTTCTTTGGCAGGCATAACTACGGTGCTGACAATGTCAACCATCATCACAGGAGTAAGTGCCTCAATGCCTCAAGTGTCTTACATAAAGGCTGTGGATGTGTATTTATGGATCAGCTTCCTTTTTGTCTTCCTGTCTGTCATTGAATATGCAGCAGTGAACTATCTCACCACAATTGAAGAGAGAAAGCAACTCAAGAAAAGGGGCAAGGTACAATCATCTGCATTTTGTTGCCTTTAAAAGCATCACAGAAGTCACAGAATAATCCTGACACAAAAATGTGATAGTCTCTGATTCTCCTCTGTTTCACACTTTTTTTTTTTGTGGCTGAAGGGAAGAAATGTATCACCCTCTCAGATATTGAGAAGGTCCGAAGTTACTCTCCCTTCCTTTTCTTTTAACAGAGATTAGGGATCACAACTCCTGATTATTATTATTTTTCTTCACTCAGAGGAAAATACCGCTCATTTTTTTTTCTCAGTTTTTCTATTGACCAAGACAATGTTTTCATCTTTTTCCTCCCCCTGAAATATATCCCAGACTATACTCATGCAATGTTTCCTCCTGTATCCTGTAAAGCAGAGTTTATTTACCCTTCTTCTGCTTCCTCATTTTCAGTTAGGCAGATGGGTTTAATGACTTTTTTTTTGTCCTGAGACCAGATGAATGATTAGGTCCTTTTTAGAAAAGCGTGTTTGAAGCAGAAATGTTTACAAGTCAAACATTTGCTTTCTATGAAGCACTCATTTAAAAAAAAAATCCTTCAAGAATATCCCCGCATGTGAAACCATTCATTGGAATATCACAAGTGGAAGAACACACAAAGGATGCATATGTTGCCCACACGATTTCATACTGCTATTAAAAAACACAGAAATGTTTGAAGTAATTTCCCACAGACCTACAGATGAGTCAGTTTGATTTTTCTATTTCACAAGCAAGGGCACATGCAAGTCAGCTGGCAACAGTGACACAGACAAGCGTGTTATGTCACATATATGTCTTTATTTGCACATGTGCTGCAAAAGGGGCCGGGCCCCACAGATAGTAGTATCTGAGGTAAGTGAGGTAGCCACGTTCTCCCTATGATTGCAATGTGAAGAACAGCACTGGAGAGAAAGCTTTGTTTATTTTCTATTTTATTTATTTATCATTTACTAAAATGGCTCCTGCTAGATTCACAATAACTATTTTTTGTTGCCAGGCCTCAGGAATGTATAACATTGATGCAGTGCAAGCAATGGCTTTTGACGGCTGCTACCATGATCCTGATGTTGAGATGGACCTGCCTGCTTTCACTGACCGCTGTGAAGAGAATGAAACTCGAGCACGAGCAATCAGTGTCTCCAATGTGGGCACAGCTCGCATCAAGAGGAAGAGATCTTTTAAGGGAAACGTGGGCAGGATTATTCTACAGAACAATCATGTCATTGACACATATTCCAGGATTATATTTCCCAGTGTGTATATTGTGTTCAACTTTTTTTACTGGGGTTTGTACATATGAACAGAAATCATTATAAGCTAGATTTTATCTTGGGTATATGGGTAATGCAAAAGCAGTAGAGGAAAGGGTTAAAAGCTTCTGAAACTGGCTTCTGCATCAAACCAAGGCTGGTTTGGTTAACAGCAGAACTGCTGATGGAAAAAATCTCACGGTCTGACCTTTCAGCTGGACTGCTCCATAATTCACTGGGACAACCCAATGTGCGTGCTACTGCTGCAGTATCACAGAAGCAGCTTGCTCACTGAGGGAGCCCTTTATCACACACCTAAACAGATAACAGCTCCTGGCCAATGTGTTATCCAGTGTTCATCTATGCTCTAACCATTCCCCCTTAATCAGCCCTTCTGTTTGTTCTCCACTTGTTATCCAGTTGTTTTGCAGTCAGCACCAATCACCTTCAAATGGTCCCTGCCCCAATTTCACTTACTGCATTTCTGTTTTGCTAGACAACCTGTCTGCACCTCAGGAGCCTTTGTTTTTTGATGGTAAGGAAATAGGGAAAGAGACTGTGATTTAGCAGTGGGTCAGAGACCAGCAGAAAGCAGGAAGAGTTGAAGAGGCTTTGTACACTGTGCATAACCAATGCCTCAAGAAAAATCTTCCTGTCAGCTGTCCCTGGCTTTCCATTAGGCTACTGGAAAGGACCTCTATTTTGGAGAAATCTTCTCACTAGTCCCCAAGATAGCACAGGAATAATGACCCAAACCAATGCACTTGGGGTCTTACAGCCACCTCCCCGCGAGTAAATAGCATCATCTACACAAGGTGTGCCCTTCATGTGACACCCCCACACCCGTGCCTCATGTGCACCTACACTAATCACCTGCTTTCTTCCTAGCTGCTCATTTCAGAAACCTAGCTTTGAGGAAGATATTTTAGAATACTTTATCAAGAAAACAAACAAACCTGTTACTTCTGACAAAACTTCGGATTTTGTCCCACCCTTGGCTTCTGAGATTGAAAGTTACAATGAGGGGAGAAGCCATTCATGCCTGCATGTGATGCTGGTCCCCATCACAGGCCAGGTTACTACACTGAGATCTGAGATACACAGGAAATAAAAAGAATCAGCTGTGCCAAAACAGAGCCACATACAGGAATCCTGCTGGTCCCAGATGAATGCTGCATGCAAATAAATACTCTTACTGGGTAAGGGTAGTGCTAAGAAGGTAACACTTCTGGCTAAGAAAGTTGAAATAAGGACGTTCAGGGACACAACAGAAGTGTTCACAACTCCAGAAAACAATGAAGAATACTTTTTGTGACTTCTCAAAGTAAGAAGTATTTTTCACTTAAATTTCCTGGTTTTATCTGTCATTTAATGAAGTGGGTTTAAATTTACAAAGTTGGCTCAAAATAATAATATGTGGTGGCAAAAAATGTCAAAAGGTCAGTGCTTGGTTAAGATTATTAGGAAATAGGAATAAATTTGGAAGTCTGAACCACTCTCTGGTTTATCTGATTTTCCTGCTGGAAATGTGCGGCAATGTCTCTTACTATTTCAAAAAGCTGCATTTGTCAAACTATCAGTTACAGAGCTGGAAAAACTAGCAACACATTGTATCCCGAGTGATTGAAATCTGATGGAATGAGCGGGTACTTTGGCAGACAAGTCCCTGCCAAACAAATGATCAGAGCTAAGGCAGCTTTGATATTCTTCCAGGAAATCCTGTCATGGAAAGGAGAACCGTACCAGGCATGACAATGCTGGGAACGTAAAGTCAAAGGACACACAGGGCTTTGGCAACAGCAGCGGCACAGCAGACCTCAAGCTGAGCAGATGTGTAATATAAATATATTAAAAAATTACCATGACATTCTTGTTGCTTCACCGCTATTATGAATGCATCTCGCACAGATGCTCCAGATTTCCTGAGAAGATCCCATCTAATTGCTCCAGATGTGTGTCCTAAACTTGTAGTATGAGCTAATGTAACAGCATTGTTTTCACATCATTTCTTTCTCAGCCTTAGTGGAAAAAAATATTTATCCTGTAGCCAAAAGTGAATCCTCAATCTCCAGCAGAAAAAAATACCCCAAATGATTCTCGACCTAAGACAATTCTGTTTTCTAAATTGCATTAGAGAATCTGTGGCAGCAGGATCTCTCCAGTCTGGCCTGCCCAAGACCAGCATAGACTGGCCACCAAACTGTCCCACACGTGGAAGCATATAGGAGAAAGGTTTCATACCCACATTTACTTTCCTAGAATATCCTATACAGGTGCCTGAAAGTAGCTTAGTTTTTTTTATAGTGGAAACTGTTATTTATTTTCAACTGTGAATGTAACCTTTGGCAGTGTTCTCATCATGGTAAGCAGTATATAGCAATTTCATTATGATAGCAGTGGGGATTGTTTCTTTTAATGACAATACTGCAAACGTTTTTCAGCAAAGCTTATAATTTTTATCTTCTCAATGCACTGACAGGGATGATACCAGGATCAATTATACTTCACAGATCCTTTCTTGTAAAATAACTTTAAAACATATTTAATTACATTATGTTATTAACACTATTATTATTATTTTGCTTAGAGGGCTTTCTCAGCATTATCTGGCTAAAGTCCACATGACCTTCTTTTGAAATTAGTTTTATCTTCCATAAGGGGATGGTAATAAACACTTTCGGTCAGGTTTTCTGGATAAATCAGCATGGAGGTCCTTAAAGAAGTGTTCACAAATATTTCCCATTCATGTTATTTGTGGCTGTTTTTGCAGTCAGCCAAATATAGTTCTGTTTCCCACAGCACTTGCTAAAAGCTAAAATGTCACAGACATTAGGTAAATACATATTTGTTGGAGTGTTCACCCTGGTGGTATTCAAGCAGTTACACTGGTGTACTTTGTGGATTTTTGGAAAACAGAAATAACAGTGTGTAATGGCTCCTTGTCAGCAGCTCAAGTGCAGGATGTGGCCTCCCTATATTTAGCCTCTGCTGCTACACCCATCTGGATTAAGAAAACATCCTGGAAGTGTTAATGTAGGTGATTGAGCTTCAGACTTCTGAGTCTGGAGAACTGCTTCATTCTTCAAAGCTTTATAATATTTGTGGAAGCAGTAAGCATAATTCCACGCCGGTGACTTGTTTTTCAGAAAGCTACAACATTGTATGCCTTCAAATATCCCAAATATTGGTGCTTACACCAAAATATTCACAATGTGATACATTTTGAAAAGTGTCCTGAATGCTGATTGATGTTGCGTTGAACTAATAAGTAAGAACTAGAAAGCAGAGAATATCTTCTCTTCTGAAGTGACAGCCCAGTGAAGAAAAATACTTGACAGGGAAATGTCAATTTTTGTAAATCCTCCAATTACAGTTTGTACAATTGGGATAGTCTTAGTTTCAGCCCAGCAAAACTCATCCCCTAACAAACCTACCCACTGCTCAGCCTGCATTCCATGGCCAAGAGACCACAATGCTTTGCTCATCTGGAGATCAAAGCGGTCCAGGCGGTTAAGGCACAAGGACTGAATATGATGAATAGCATTTGCTTTTTTTTTTCCTCCCTTCCCCCCAGTCCCTTCTTCTGTGTATTATATTTTGCCATTTTCTCCATTCAGAAGATAGGAATTTCGATGCTTTAATGAAATCAGAACCCCTTTGAATCACGCAGTGTTTGGAGGGATCCAATTTGTGCTGTGGCAGCAGGAATTGCTTCTGTGTGAACAGCAAACCAACCATGCAGAAGAGCAGGACTGCACAACCATCTTGTGCCCAGTGTAACTACCCGTAGCTATCAGCCATACGCTGAAGGGCTGCTGAGGTTTCCAAAATTCACCTTTTGCCAGTAGCTTAATGAGGTATGCTAGGAGCTGTCAGCACACAAAAACAAAAGCTCACCAAAACCTGCCTAATTATTTCTCTGACACCTCACGGTCACTGTAAAGTAACCCATTAACAGGCATCTGTGACGAAGACAACTAACATTGTTTTCCGTAAGTTTTTACGTGCTCAGTGAAGACTCTAAAGACTTCGGGAACGATCAGCGGATGGGCTCCAGAGCTAAGCCCCCCATCCACGAAAAGACATACCCCAACCACTTCCTTATCCCTTACGCACAGCCAACCAAGAGCGCAGGCCCGCGCACCGCCGCCATTTTGTGGCAGCGGCTGAACACCTCCCCCAGCCCCGCCTCCCTCCGCGGCCTGGACGCCGGGCAGGGTGAGCCGCGTGTTTTGGGGGCGAGTTATGGCGGCGGGACGGAGTGTATGGGTGCGGGGGGTGCTCCGCGGACCTGGGCCTCGCGTGACCCGGCTGCGGGGCGGGGCTGGGCGGCGGCGTGGGTTGCTGGAGCACCGGGTCGGGTGGCGGCGTGGCTGAGCGCCGTGCCCCGATCAGCGGGGCTGCACGTGTGAGCGCTGGCACTGCAGCTCCGGGCGCTGCGTTCTACTGAGAAAAGTGTGATAGCAGCCACGTGTGGCTCCGGGCTGCCGGAGGAACTCGCGGTGAGACGCTGTATGCGGGAGCTGGCGTAGCAGTGCGGGTGTCTGCTGAGTGAGGGAAGTGGGGTCTGCGTGTGTGCGTACCTGTATCGGTAGCGCTGGAGTGTGCTTCCCCTGCGCTCCGCACTGGAGTGCTGCGTTCTGTTTTGGGCCCCTCGCTACAAGAAGGGCATGGGCACCCTGGAGCGCGTCCAGAAAAGGGCAGTGGGGCTGTGAGGGTCTGGAGAACAAGTCCTGCGAGGAGCGGCTGAGGGAGCTGGGATTGTTCAGTGTGGAGAAGAGGAGGCTCAGGGGACGCCCTGTGTAACTGCCTGAAGGGAGGTTGTGGTGAGGTGGGGGTAGGCCTCTTCTCCCAAGTAAGAGCGATATGATGAAAGGGAAAGGCCTCAAGTTGTGCCAGGGGAGGTTCAGGTTGGATATTAGGAAAAAATGTCCAAAAGAGTGGCAGTGCAGTGGCACAGGCTGCTCAGGGAGGTGGTGAAGTTACCGTCCCTGGAGGTGTGCAAGAGCTGTGTGGATGTGGCACTGAGGGACACGGATAGTGGGCATGGTGGGGATGGGCCGGTGAGTTGGACTGGGTGATCTTAAAGGTCTTTTCCAACCTTTGTGTTTCTATGGTAAGAAATCTGTGTAAATGAAAGCATGAGAGCATTTATTTTTGAGAGCAGAGCCATAATTTCTCCTTCAACATGAAAGCAGAAGCAGCTGTAGCTGCTCCCATTCGTTCACAGACTTGCTCCAACAAGCCCAGTGCTAGCTGCAGTTAGCCAGACCCCAGATGCTAGCAGGGAGTCTTTTGTTTATTTGTTTGTTTTAATTATTTTTATGTAACTATATAGGAGTAGATTATCTGCCTGGAAGAACAAAGTAAATGGCTTCTAACTTTAACTGACTACATTTTGATTAAAAAGCTCTCTTGATAGCCTACATAAACCATGCAGTTTGACAACTTTGTGGAGATGTAGGCAGAGCCGTACCATTGTACGTTTTGCTGTGATTGCACAGCGTCAACAGAAAGGCCTAAAAGCATTCCCTCTCTTCTGTAAACTTAGTTTTGCCAGAACTGGCCATGCCAAATGCAGTACAGTTACTGTGGTGGGGCAACGAGGTGCTTGCCCTTGGCTTTTTCAGTTCTTTGGAGCCTTCTCCCATCCCAACAACCAGCTCTTAAATTTGTCCTTGCTGTTCACATGTCCCTCTCCTTGGTATTGCTGCCTGTTGTGCTCCAAGTGTGTGCTGTGATACCAGGTGTTCCCTCACCTGCTTTGTAGGTACTGCTGGAGCTGCACTCTGGTAACTGTGCAGCAATGGTGTGCAAGCTTTTATCCCTCTCCATCCCTTTGCATGTTATTAAACCTCTTACATCTGAGCTATTAAAACAAAAAAACCCAAATGTTGCTATTGCTACAAACGAGCATTCTAACAGGAGTTCTTTGTGTGGGTGGATTTCTGCTTTTATGAAGACCTCTTGTGTGGCCATTTGGATTCTTTGTGTTTCTACTGCAGATTCAGGTGTGGGATTGCTATTTCTGTGTGCAACAGTACCCAGTAGAGCCCTTTGCAGTGGAACTGAAAGCGGGTTGGAGATCTGCTGGGGGCATTCTCTTTTCTGCAAAAGAATAGTGAGCACCTGAAAGCAGAACTGTTCCCAGTGTGCTGCTGTACCCCACTGGAGAAGGCAGGAGATGTACAGGGCCCATGAGATTATGGAGCTGGCTGACTGTTAAATTTCTCTCCTCTTGAACAGGACCATGCCCAAGAAGGGAGGGAGGTATGCTGAGGTGGGGATGGAAATGCAGGTGCAGTCCAAACGAGCAAAGGTGGAAGCAGCTTGTTCGCCATCAGTCATGAATTTTGAGAGCCCAGACAGCCTCTTTGCAAGCCTGATCTCTCCCATCAAACCAGAGGAGTTTTTCAGGGAGTACTGGGAAGAAAAGCCGCTGCTTGTTCAGAGAAACGATCCCCTACTGGCTGCTTACTACCAGTCC